GAGCACTGTGCTTGGGTGCACTGGGGCGCTCCCAGGGCTTCGGGCTTAACGAGGGCTCTTAAGTTTTGTCTGAAAAACCAAAGGGCTGTGAGGAAGGGAGCTGTGTGGAAGGTAGGACTCTGAAGTGTATTTTGGAAATTACTTACCACCCTCCCCCAAATTATAAGAATTTTTAAAAAACAAAGAAGCTGTGCCCTTTTCCACTCTCTCCTGGCCTTGGTGCTGCTGTCTCGTCTCTCTGTTCCACAGCTGAAACCTCTGCCTGCTGTGGCTCCTTCTTTCCCCTTTGTCAGACCCTCTTCAAGGGAAAATAGGTTAAGAGGACTGGTCAGCCCATCACCCCTCCCAGCTACGGTGTGTGTGTACACACATGCACAGGGTAGGTGGGGCAGAGGTTGCTGATTAAAATACACTCCCCCTGAAAAGGGGAAGGGGGAGTGTGACCCGTTCCTTTCATGTTCAAGTGAAAATAAATACTGTACCCTGCAGCCCTTTTCCCCTTTGCATCCTTCTGGCTTGGGCAAAGGGCACTGTAGGTGAACGTGATGTAATTCAGTATCAATTCCCTCCTCCTCCCTCCCTTCTCCACCCTCTCCCCCGCCCGCCAGCCCTACGGCCAGGCTTGGGAGCACTCCGGGGCCGGGACATGCACTGAGTGTTGCACTTTTACTTAGGTAGGGAGACGTGGAATGAGTCAGGAGGCCTACATGTGGCACCTGGTCCAGCTGGTGCAGTTCAGTCCCAAAGGAGGTGTCCAGACACAGACTTTCTGATTCTATTTTTTTCAATGCCAGTACTGCTCAGCCCTCAGCATAATTTCAGTTCTCATGAAATAAACAGTGACGATATAAAAACCCACCTTTCTGAAAGTGAAATGTGAGCTCAGGTGAGCTTCACCTTTCCCAAGAAGCAGAGCCGGGGTTCTCCAAGTCAGGGGCCGCACCTGGGCCCTGCCCCGGCATTACAGCAACAACAGCTTACGATGGGGGTCTCAACTCGCTGAAGTCAAAAGTCTTAGGATGGGGGGTGACCCAGACTGCCGTAGATGTCAGGCCTGCGGTGCTGGAACACAGGCAGGTGTTGGCGCAACTGTCGTAGGTAACTGAGGTCTATTCGGGCAAGGCAGAGGCCTGGCCCCTCTGAGCAGCGAGCCACCACTGTCCCCCAGGGGTCCACCACCATGCTGTGCCCATAACTTGCTCTCTTCTCGTGGTGGCGTCCACACTGGGCTGCTGCTACCACGTAGCACTGGGTTTCGATGGCACGGGCCCGCAGCAGCACCTGGGGATAAGGAGGTTTGTGTCCACGCCCATTCACGTAGCAGCTCGTAGAGAAGTGGCAGGCAGTGGACATGGCAGGCTAGTCTACCTCTAGTAGCCACTCTGATAATTGCCTGGGAATGATTTACAACACAGGAGATCTAAGGCAGCAATCTAGGAGATGGATCTTCCCACTAGTAAGGAGGGCTGGGGGAAGGGGAGGAGATTAAGAGAAGATGTGTGTTTTGAAGAGGTGTCTTCTTACCTCCCAGTGGGCTGGGCCCGTTACAGATCCAAAAGCTGAAGGGTAGGTAAGTATTTCTGCTCCAGCCTGAGCCAATGCGAGAGAGAGTTCGGGGAACCGCATGTCATAGCAGATAGCTAGACCAATCTGGAATGGAAGACAGCCCGCCTAGTAAGCCCCCTACCCTGTTTGTCACAGCATCTGGTCACACCCCCACTACCCTACTCCTTAGGGCTTTCTACCTTCTATCACCTAGTCACAGGATTCCTATTCCCCTCCCGCCTCGCCCTTTCACATTCCCACCTTGCCTGCCGGGGTGCTGACAGGTGATTCGAGACCGGGCCCAGGCATGGTAGAGTTGCTTTCACGCATAGGCCCCTGCCCTGGCAGCTCTACGTCACACAGATGCGTCTTCCTGTACGTGGCCACGACTGACCCTAGAGTAAAGGGGAGAAGGAAACCTGGTGCTGGTGCTCTGGAACAGGGGTCCCCAACCACAGGGCTGTGGACTGGCACTGGTCCGTGGCCTGTTAGGAACCAGGCCACACAGCAGGCAAGCAGCAGGTGAGCAAGCGAAGCTTCATCTGTATCTGCAGCACTCCCCAGCGCTAGCATCACCGCCTCGGCTCCACTCAGATCATCAGGCATTAGATTCTCACAGGAGCCCCGGTCCCTGGTGCCAACAAGTGTGGGGACCACTGCTCTGGAGGCCCAGTTAGCTCTCTCCTCCCGGGGAGGAGACAGTTCACAGGCCAGGAGCAGGAGTAGGGACACGCCCACCTCCCTCCACTGAGAAAAATTCTGGAGAATCTTAGTTTACGCGCAAGAGCCCAGGAAGAGGTGGGCTGGAGTTATGAGGTCTCACCCTTGCTGTTCAGAAGCACATGACAATTGTAGATTTTCTGAGTCTGCTCCCAGTCTTGGCCACGCTCATGGAAGCCACCCAAGGACAGCCAAAGTCCACATTCCCTGGGGGGAGGGGACACTGACACTTCTCACAGCCGCAATCCAGAGACATGACCCAACAAAGAAAGTACCTGTTCCTCTCCCCTTGATACCTGGCAAGCTGGGTATATTCTCCCAAAAGTTTCCCACCCAGTGGCTCAGACAGGTGTAGAGTCTCTGCAGGGTCTCGGGCAATGAAGTCAAATGCCTCAGGCAAGAAAGCCAGGCAAGCGCCCAATCTGGCAGCCTCTCGAACCAGCTCAGCGCACGCTTGAAAGTTCTGCTGCTTGTCTGGTGTCGACGTTACCTGGCACACAGCCACCAGCGGCAGGTCCCAGGAGGAAGAGGAGACAGCCATGGCTCTGGACCTATGAATGGCACAGACAGGACTGAGACTTTCCAGCATGGGGAAACCCAAGTTTAAACAGGTGGGGAGGCAAGAAGGCTGGACTTCCCTTTGATTCTGCTGCTACAAGGCACAACGACCCACCAATCAAATATCCCGTGATGGCTGATGCCCCACTGTCTCCCGCCATCCATTTAACCAACATTGAGCATCTGCTATGTGATAAGCATTGAGGATACAAGAAAACATGTTACCTGGGCTGAGCACAAAATACTGAGAGTCGAGGTATCCGGAGTCTGGGACACAGAAGGGACAGGAGCTGGTGAGGAGGCCTGATGATGGAGCCCAGCCTGAGGAAGGTGAGAAATAAGGACACCGAACCCTCTCTCAAAGCAATAAATTTCTAGGATTCCCCGACTTCTCCCTTCATACTGTGAGGCTGAATCAGGGCCCTGCCAGTGAAAACCCCCAAGTCTCCAAAACGCTCTTCACTACAGGTAATTATGGGTTACAGGAAGAGACCCTAAGGAGGGGTGCAGGAAACCTCGACTTCGCGATCTCGCATTAAACCGAGGCCCTGTCCCCTGCCGGACGTCTCTGCACCTCGAGTCACCTTCGAGGAACTTCCTGGGTTCTCCCCGCCGCGCCTCCCGCCTGCGCACCTGCGCAGCTGCACTGACTCAGCACAGTCCCGCCCGAGCCCAGGATCTCCGAGCGGGGGTCGCCCTCCCTCGTTCCCACCGCCCCGTGGTGGGCGGGGGGCTCGGCACCCG